ATTTGTATTACATGTTAATGAGACCTTTGTGGCAGTGGCTTGTGCTTCACACAAGCTTTGCAATCTAATAGGATTCTATTTGCGTAGTCGCTCACTTATCCTCGCAATTAAAATTTGTATGTATAAGCTCAGCCAAGCAGTATGGGTCTAATCAACCTTGTGAAGACTGCCCCTGCAAAGAGAGGGTCAGCTGTGGTGTCACCATTCCTCATCCTCCTTTTTTCTTAAGTGACAGCAGATGACGACATGGCAAAGGATGGCTTCAGTAGAAGAATGTTCCAGATTTGCTTTTCTTGCTAATTTGGTGAAGCCCAGTACCCCTGGAGATTACATTTGTACTGGCTAATTATGCAGCATGCAGTTGACATCCAATGGCAACGTTCGGTGGCAATGCAGGAAGTAGAGGGTTTGTTAAATCTGAATTTCATTGTGGATAGCAGAGGTTGTGTCATATCGCAGACCTGAAGTTAATTTTGTTTAAAAGGCTCAAAGGAGATATTTTGGTAAATACACTCATTTGCTTTCTTGCAGAGTTAATGAGAAGATATCTGTACATTAAATGTGAAGCTTACAGTATTTGATAGGAGGTTTATGGTGTTGAGTGATTTTCTAGTTAAGAAGTATTGTCACCGTCATCATCATCATCTTTGTTTACTTTTAGAAAATATCTTAAACAGAAAATGGGAACTTAGAAATTATAATCCAGATTTAATGACTAGGAATGAGAAGTAAATGTTATAATTACCGTTCAATCTCATTATTTTGAATTAATGTAGTCATATCTATTTTATCTTGAGTTGCTAACAGAGGCGTCTAGGTTTTCACCTTTTTACGTCTCCTGTACAGGTTTTGGATTCTTCACCTTAGCCACTAACTGTGAGTTTCTCTCCAGCCATTAATTAAGTAGGACAGACCTCAGTGAAGCTACCAACCTTGAATAATTTTATATGTAGGCTTGTGAGTTTCATTGGAGAGTTTTATTGCTGCATGGCCCAAATTCTGGCCTTTCCACATGACTAAGGAAACACAGTCCCGGTGGAAAGACTTCTGTAATGTTATTTGTGTCCTCCCACAGCCCTCATTTGTAGTCCGATGACATGATGGTGAATCACTGCAAGGAGCCTAGTCTGCCTACATGTCCCCTCGGACATGCTGTCATATAATAACCTTGTTCCCCTTGTTCTCATGGTTGCCCCGCACCTACTGTACCATGGGGACCAGAAGTGCGTCCATGTGCATCCACCTATCATCTCTCTAACAGGAAATTACACCTTAAAACATAGTTTATCTCCAGATGCCATTTCAGGTCATTCTTCTGTTTGTTATAGTCTACTCCTATTATTACTATTCTACTCCACATAACACTGTAGATCCTGTCAATCATGTAGTGCAGTATAATTATGCATATGTATGCACAATGTTGCTCATTTTCACAGTCACACTGAAGAAAAATGTGTAGTATTTCTTTACTCTGTGTGTGTGTGACTTTTTTCAACACTGCACAGCTTATACCATATGCTCATGTGTCAAAGGGATTATATTTGCAAGTCAAAGCCAGTTTAAATACTGGAAAGCAGAATGGGTTTTGGTTGTCTAGCAGATCCAAGGCGGGAAGCACACTTAGAGCTGCTCTTGCCCTGCATGACCATGAAGTTCTGCAAAATAGCTGTAATTATAAAATCCCAAACAGCTGACTCTCAGGTTGGCCTTTATAATATTTAATTTTCTGAACAGATTTCATTTTCTAAGGTAATATTAATCATTATGAGTATAGTACAATCTTTGTGGCATCATCCGTTCTTTATACATAAAAGTGTTATCTTATTGGGAAAATGAAATAACAAAATGTCAGTACAATGCATCCTTTTCCTTTTTGAAACTAGTTGCTGTTTGGCTTATCTCCGTCTTCCGCTGGAATTTATGAATTACCCACTTTGATTCACTACAGTGCACTTTCATCACGCTGCAGCTCAATTAAATATTGCTGTTTTTGTGCACGGGTGAATCCCTAATAACGTTATTTTTAACTAGTTTATGCCTTTAGAGGGAAAATATTATTGAAAAAATCCTTTATGTGTTTTAGCTTTAGCTTTTATCTTGTATGAGTTTCATGAATATTAAAGGAATAGTGCAACATTTTAGGTATTATGCTTATTTGCTCTCTTGCTGAAAGTTGGATGAGAAGCTCAATACCACTCTCATACTGTCTTTCCATTATGAAGCAGGAGCCAGGCCCAGTCCTTAGAGCTGATATAAAAGACTTGGAACGTCCTTGATCCTCTGTCGACTGGAATGACTTCCAGGTTGAGCGAGGATCAAGGACCAAGGAGCGGTCATATTTAAGACTTAAGAAACACCCACTCGTTCAGGCCAAGAAGTAGCCTGGCACACGAACCAAACCACAACATGTCTTATTGCCATGTTGGGTTTTGCATTGCTAACCACCTGCTAGTTGAGAGTGGTATCATTCTTCTTATCTAACTCTCAGCTCATTCCAAGGTAAGATAAATTCCTCAAATGCAAAACAAAATGTTTTTTTCTTTGGAACTATATGTGTCTGTTTTTTATTCAGGAGCTGTTAGTGGAGCTTGGCTGGGCGACCAAAGCCAGAAGAAGGGAGGAGGAAGAGGAAGGAGGGAGTGCACAGACAGACAGAGGCAGTGGATATGACTGTGATGATGAAGATGGCTGCGAAGCATCTGGCAAGGAGACCAGTGAGTCACACACACACACACACACACACAGAGAAACCAGCATACAAAAGTAAAGGAACAAACATTAGCAAACATACTCCCACACATACAGTATACACAAGTTGATGCACACCTGCAGACTTGTTTTTTGCTTGATCAAATATGGGCATTCTGATTCATACATAACACATCAGCATATACAGACAGACACACACAGAGTTCATTTTTATGGTGCACGGTTTAAAATGCCTCCAGCTTCACATTTCAGCAGGGAAATGCCCAGAGGGAGGGAAAGTACTGAGAGAAGGATTCAACTCTCCTCCTTGTCCCTCTCGCTCTTTCTCCCTCTTTCAGTTTTTCATCTCTTTTCCTGCTGGTCCTAGCTGTTTATTTTCCTCCTTGGCTGGAATACAGGATGCCCTAACAACCAGGGCACCCTAAAAATCATAAATGACTAAATAAATTGAAATTTTCTAGGGGCTACTAAGGCTCCTTAGCCTTAGTATAATTTAAGTTGTTAATGAGAAAGTGTTGCTGCTTGTTCAGGTTGACCAAATGTACAAATGTAATATTTAGGGCCCAGCATTTCCCACAGGTTGGAAACAGGTTTGTGGTGGATCTGCCTTACACTGGGGTAAAGATTTTAAATTTTGTTGAATATCAGTGTCATCTCCACCCAGAACCCTGAAGGACAATGTCCTTCCAATGTTGGTCACATGCCGCAGCTACACCCTCATCTATGCCCTATCATAAGCTTTACTCTCCATGTCTATGTTTAGCTGGAAAAAAAATGTATGTTGATTAACTGGTCAACAGATGAGAAGACCTCAGCCACCTTTATGGTGGCAAGGCTGTATTTAAATGTTCATTCTGTAAACCTTTGGTAAATGTTAACTTGTTGCCATTTATCATAAAATTATAAACCACAATATTTCACACAATATCAATATCTCTCCATGACACATTTATGTGTAAATGTTTTTCTTATACTGCATCGCCCCCTTATGTAACAGCTCTGCAAGTAAGGTACTGGTTGGTTCATTTGTCATACCCTTTCCACTAACCTTGATGTGTCAGATCGCACCTCCCGCTGGGTCTGGAACGAGTACATTGGCTGTTTACAAAGAGAATTGTTGGTTATGATTTATTGAGCTGGTCGCAGCACAGTGGGATTGTCTCTCTCAAGCCGCCATGAGTTCTGCATCTCTGTGCATACAAACAAGCCTCACAAATGCTGAAACTGAAAGAGTGATGTAGTATCAGCCACGCTGCACAAATTACAGAGATAGGCTTGAACAAGCTCATCAATTTTTTTAATTATTTTTACTTTTTCACCTGTACTATACATTAAATCGCTGGTCTTGAGTTTGTGTATAAATAAAACACAAAGGAATGAAGGCGGGCCGCTCTGATGTGCCCAGTCGTGCTCTGACGCTCTCTCTCTTTAAAACTGTGCCTACAAATCACTGAAATGTGATGTTTGTTATTTCACAGGATAGAAAACAAAACTTTG